TTTTTATTTTTTTTTTTACTTGTCTTGAAAATTGAGAGATACTTGGGGAAGATATGGCTTTGAGGGACCGTATTAAGAAAAAGAAGGAATTTTCGCGGAAATAGTGTGTCATTTTTACAGTAATGATAAGGAACAACTGTTGACTCGGTTACGGAACTAACTGTTGGCTCCGTTACGGAGTCAACAACCAATGGAAAAGCTCCATGTGGGACTGTCTTACATTGAAGCTATGTGGGACAATCCCACATGGAGCTGTCCCATTGATTATTGGCTCCATAACGGAGCCAACGGTTGGCTCTTTACCATTATTGGTCATTTTTATTATGTACAATTAAATTATTCAATTCGAGTTCAATGGCTAATTTTTATTATGTAATTGTACTGTTGTAGTAAAAATTAAAAAAATCAATCTGTATTTTTATACGCAATCAGAATACAATGGATTATTGCTATAACTGCCCTGTTTAAAAAATATGAAAATTTTACGGTCCCACTACGAAACTATTTCGTTGGGTTTGTAACCGTTAGAACAACGGGACTGTAGCATTTTTTAAAAAAATATATAAATACGGTTTTTTTATAAATATATATACGTTCATAAATTGTTGTGTTTACGTATTTTTCTAACATAAATGTACACTTATTTTTTGAATATTTTTCGGAAATATCATATTTTCTTATTTCTATTGAATTTTAAAGTATAATATTTCAATTTAAAAAATGTATATACATATATTAAATGTATGATTTATTTAATCCTTAGGTGAAATAATATAGTTGTTTTGTAGTTTGGTCGGACTAAAACAACATGATATGTGTGATGTAGAGTAGGAAAAATAAATGTGCTCATTCTACTGTCTAAATTAATGCATATTTCTATTGGTTATTATTAGGTGATGTGAATTATGTAATTTTAAATAGGGTAAAACATATTGATTAATGTATAGCATTATTAATGGTAAAATACAACATTGCAACAACACTTACAATTTGCTTGGTCATAGAATTTTCATTTATTCATGTTTCATTGTACCATAAAAAATAATATAACTGGCAATGTTATAAAAACACAAACCAATGTTTACCCCTTAAATACAGTAATATTCTCCTACTCACAATGGGCACATGTTAATAACCACCATGAATGTGACATACACATATTGGTAATCTTAATATGTTCAAAAAATACATCATCAACGTGTGCATGCCACATAAGCGGTAGACATATTAACATGTGTCCACCGTGAGTAGGAGAGGATTACGAGCCGTCAATATTTAATACTTAATTCAGTTGGTTTTTAAGGAGATAGAATTGAATAACACTAGTGAACGAACCAACAGCACCACCAACTGAAAGTTGAAACATCAATTGTTGGGCAAATATGATTTACGAGTATTTGACTTAATTATTTTTTAATTCTAGAAATAAAAAATCATATCTTTTTCAAGAAAACGTTTATTTAAGGGTAAAGAAACAAATATTAGAGTTGTTTTCCCCATAAACTCGTTTTGCTTGCAATTTGGCAACATCTCCTTTCTTTTAGAAATTTATTTCGTCAAAAAATAAATTAATAAGAATATTGTATATATATTTTTTTTTTTTTTTTGTGTAATTTATAACTTGTGATTGTGGACTTGAGCCCAATAGTTTATTGTCCTTACATTGGACAAGACTTATCAATTTGGCCCAGAACAAGGAATACACAAGCCCATAATAAAATGTGTTCTGGAAAAATAATAATCTATATATATATAATTACTAGTCAATAGCATTTAATAAAACCTAATTAATTTTACCTATGTGGCAATTTAATATTTTTCCCTCCAAAAACCGTTACTTTTTTATGTATTTAATCTTTCATTTAATTATTAAATAATCAATACTAATCACTTCAAAATTACGAAAATTATTTTAAGTTTTTTTATTAGTGACAGTTGACCACATAATGTATTGATCGTACAATGTGATTAGATGTTATTATTGTTGTTACATTTAAATTATTTTTTAAAAAAAAAAAATTAAAAACGTATTTGAAATTCCTAAATAAATGATAGATAATTCAAAAAAAAGACGTACCAAAATATACATTACATCCAATCAGATAAACGCAATTTTTTTTTTTTTAAAAAAAGTAAATATTCCAACTTCTTTATTTGTAAATTTGGCATGCAAAAAAGTGAAAGAAAAATAATTAATTATTATATGCATACAAATAACTCACAATACTTAATTTACATTTGTGCAAATGCACATGATCGAATACTAGCAATTCATAATTTATCTCTACAAGAAATCAGAAATCAAAAACCAAAAATAGAATAAAACTACATACAATCAAACCTTTTGTTTTTTTTCCCCTTTTCATAAGGAAAAAGAACTCATCAGCATCTAAAAAGCATAAATGACAGTTCACATACAGTTACAACACAAAATACAACTTGCAGATCACAAATCAATTTTTAGTGTTTCCAAATACCAACTCCTCTCATTACCATTTAACCGAAGGTTCGATCCTACCGTTGAGGGCACGAATCTTTCCCCATTCACCATCAGTAGAAAGCGAATCCATTTCTTCTACAAATTCCACTTTTACACATAAACGAGTACTTGTACAAGACAACAACATACTATTATTCACTAAAACTGTAAAACATCTCGAAACTCAAATCAAATTATGGTTTCCTTATCTAAATGATACAAAACTTAAGATTCACAACTTTTCTACTACAAATTACAATGAATCAGTTATTCTAAAAGCAAAGATTGGCAAACACTCGTATGCGTTGTTCTTCGGCTTCTAAGAAAACAAAATACTAGAAAAATCTGCTAGAAAGAATCAAATAATAGCAATGAAAACCATTGATACCAAAGGAACACTGCACATTTATAATGTATGATATAGAAAGAAAAAGAAAAAGAAGAACAGACATAGACAGCCACTGATAAATCATACAGAGAAAAGGGAAAAAAAAAAAAAGGCAAACCCAACATGATCACATGTCTGCACAACAACACATTTCCTCATTATTGGAATGCCTTTTGATAAAAGCAAGATGATGAAAGATAACAAGATCTCTACTAAAAGGAACCCAACAAAATCTTACTCAAAACAGAGGCTTTTTCTTGCCCAAACTCATCATAAGCCCTATCACACTTCACTACAAAGGCAAATGACTAAATGTTTATATTTTAACTTACCCATCTTAGCAAAGACAACATGAATGTATGACCCCCAACATCCAAAAGCTCATATTCAATTAGCATCAAAAGAAAAAAAAAAAAAGGAGTCTCTTTCCCTTTGGGCAACAATATCTATCCACACAACAAGACTTGTTAAATCGATTAAAGATCACGAAATTCAATATGACATTCACTCGACAATCTCTCGAACCGACAATCTCTCGAACGGTAAAGATATGGAACTCAAACATAAGTAAAAAGAAAGAAGAACTATATTCAAGATTTGCTAAATGATCCCAAAACTTGGAGAGAAAAAAAAAAAAAATCACATAAGAATAGAATCCCATTCACCTTCACCCGCATTACACACTAATGTTGAATTCAAGATTTTTGCTAAATTTTCAGCCTTACTTAAATCCCCTTCCTCAATTCATTAGCCTGCAGTAACCTCATACAACAAAAGTAATAGCCAAGATACAAAAATAAAAGAGAATAAGAAAAGCCCAAAAAAAGAAGTACCCCAATTCTACAAATAACAATCAGGACGAACGAGGAGGCGGCGGCAAAAGCTGGTGCATCTGGTGGTGCGCCTGCCCCGGATTATTCCCCCGGCCGGGGGAAGAATACTGCAGGATGAAAGGATGCTTCAGGAGCTGCCCGGCCGTCCACCGTCTTGCCGGATCCCGCTGGAGGCAGCAAGCAATGAAATCCCTAAACTCCCGGCTGGCGGCCGGCGGGGCCTCCGGCGGCTTAGACATACAAATGGCGCACATTAGACTCGCCCAGTCACCTTGCCTCCCGACCGCAAATGGGAATTTCCCTAAATAGAACTCCAAAATGCTAACCCCCAAACTCCAGATGTCGCCGGCGTAGCCATCGTACTGGCCGTGGTTCAGATCGGTGTTGATCCTCTCGGGGCTCATGTAGGCGATGGTGCCGACGGATGAGTTGCAGGGGTCCATCGTCTGAGCGAGAACCCTAGACACGCCGAAATCTGCAATCTTGACGATTTTGCGGGAGTTGATGAGGAGGTTGGAGGGTTTGATGTCCCGGTGGACGATTTTGCGGCGGTGGAGGTAGTGGAGTCCGGCGAGGACCTGGCGGGCGACGTCGGAGAGTGAGGGCTCTTGGGGGATGTGGGTCCCCTCGAGGGAGCCGCCGTCCATGTACTCGAGAAGGACCTGGATCTCGCCGTTGTGGTCGTAGAGGTTGTGGCAGGCGACGACGTTTGGGTGGTCGACGTCGCGCAAGATCTGGATCTCGCGGCGCATCTGGACGCGGACGGCGTCCTCGTGGTTGCCGTAGATGACCTTGAGGGCGTAGACCTTACCCGTGGGGCGGTGGACGACCTTGTAGACGGTGCCGCCGGCGCCGCTTCCGATGCGGCTGGCGCGATCTAGGTCGGCGTAGGATGGCGGCGGGTGGGATGGGGAGG